TTGCAGAGTCTGGTCAGAGTCTGGTCCTGTTCCCTAATCCAGACGTCCCTGGTCTAGATTTTGCCAGTGGGCTCTGTAGTCCCCAAATGGATAAGAATATATAAACACGTTTTTTATGAAAAGGTTGTTTCCTATCCCTAGAAATGTCACAAAGAAAACCAAGTGGTGCTTAGTGGCAGCTTCTGGAGCAGAGATGGGACATTTGTCTAGAGATCCATCACGTGAGAGCGCCCCAGGCACCAGGCCTGGGAACTGGAGCAGAGGAAGAACCTAGTGGGCTGCGGAGGAACAGGAAGGGGCTGGGGCTAGAGCGGCAGCTTTCAGCCAGTGCGCAACACTACCTGACTGTTTAGCCAGGGGCACTGGCCTCTTTTCCCTTAGGTTGTCAAACAAAAAATGACAACAGCCAACACAACAGTAGCCCATCGGGTGTAAATGCCCTGTCTTTAACCTTAACTCTAGATCATATAATAGAGTTGTATCTTAGTGGTCACGTGAATAATAAGGTTGTATCTGATTGGTTAACTTTGTTTTGTTTATAATTAAGGATATGTTGTGTGTGTTTTTTAATCAATTTTAAAGAGAGAGAAAGAAGGGGGGAAAGAGAGAAAGAAACATTGATTCCCATACCTGCCCCAACCCAGGAATGTGCCCTGACTGGGAATCGAACCTACAATTTTTGGTATAAGGGACGATGCTTCAACCAACTGAACCATCTGGCCAGGGCGATTGGTTAATTTTTGGAAATTAACCAGAATTCCTTATATACAAGTATAAGCACTTGGTTTTTTAAAAAGTCATCTGGAACAAAAAGGGTAGGTAATTACTATTTATTTTTTTGTAAATCAAAATTATACCTTTTTTGGTCAGATCAGCAAAAAATATATATTTTTTAGTGTGCCACAGAATTTTAGTATTAGTTTATGTGTGCCATGAGATGAAAAGGTTGAAAATCGCTGGGCTAGAAAATCTCATAAGGCCTGAGAGGAAGCGGTGGGAGAGGATGGTGGCATGGAGCCCAGCGGGTCAGGCCGGGGGCCTCAGGCCAGGGCATAAGCACGGGTGTCCTGTCCCGCAGAGGGCCAGTGCCGGGAGGTTAGATGTAGGGCAGACGTGGCAGTCACGTTCACACTGCAGGAAGCTGGCCTGATCTGCAGAGAGCGAGGCTGGGCAGGCATCTCCCGTAGGGCGCTGTGGCCTGAGCACCTGGAAGGGCCTGCTCGCCAAGGGTTGAGATGGGAGTGACATGACACTAGAGGTGGCTTAGAAGGTGCCCAAACCCAAGGGCTGACCAAGGTGGTACCAACTGGCTGAGGACCAGGGGTCACTGGCGTTGCCATCATTGGCCTTTTTCAGAATGCAGTTTATCAGAAAATAGTAACAACCTCCAGCCCTTACTGAGCACATACATGGTGTCCCCAAAAAATATATACACACACTTTAACAGCTGAGAGCTCAATTTTGAAAATGAAATGTATTTTTATAAACACTGCCTTTATTCAAAGAGAGTAAACATTTTGGTTCCCAGTGCTGTTCCCAGATACAGCGTCTCATGTCTCCTTTCGTCAAGTGCACTCTGAGAAACGGGACTCAGAAAGGCCTATTTCCCAGATGAAGAAATGAGGCACAAAAGGCCCAGCAAACTGTTGACATTTTTAGACCCAGGGCCGGGCCACATGCTCCCTTTCTCCCCACCCCACTTCTTACACGTGCATTTTTATGTTTGTCTTCACAGTGGTGTCAGCCCCTCCGCTCAGATCCTGAAAGGCGTGATGCGGTCGGCCTCCTGGCCAAAGGCCTCCTCCGTCAGGGAGACAGGACAGTGCAGCTAATCCTGCTCTGCTCCCAGAAGCCCACCCATGCCTGCTGCAGAGGGTCACGGAGCAGCTGCCCCGGCAGCTCCTGGTAAGGGCAGGTCACCTCTGGGTGTGTGTGGTGTGTGTGTGTGTGTGCGGGGGTGGGGTGGGGGGGTGAGGGTGGTGCTGCCAGCCCCTCAGGCTCCCTGGCAGCCATGACTTTGTTTCCACAGGATTTTAAGAAATAAGAGTGGTCATTACTAGATACAATCAGTTTGTTTGTATAAACAGTTGCAAGGAGAAAGAGGTGGAAACTTCAGGGTTCCGTGTAAAGCGAGTTCAGGGAAAATGTAAATGTCCCGCCATGGGAACGGTGACCGGCCACGGGGAGGGCACATGGTGACGCACAGGCACGTTTGCTGCCTCGTTGACTGAGATTCAGGGGAGAGCAAAGGAAGGAGCCGAGCCGGGGAGGCCTGTGGGAGACGGACCGGGTTCTCTGCTCGAGCAGTTCCTGTCCTAGTCGGAGTCCACTTCTCAGGACCACTGGGGAAGAGTAAGATCAGGTCATTATTGACATCGATCATCTTAGGTAAAACGGTCAGTCCCAGGCGGGCTCTTCCTGCTGTGTCGGGCCCTGTTCCTGCGAAAATGCTGCCTCGCGCCTCCTGCTGGTTTAGGAAGCACGCTGGTCAGGACCAGATAGACACCTAGCACCTAACTGTAGTTTATCGGCTGTGAGGAAATGGAAGCCTGCTGCCAGGTGGAGGGAGGGAGCCATGGCCAACGGGACAGGGGGAGGCACGTGTCCTGACCAAGGACATTTAGGCTGTTCCCCGGGTTCTGCATTACCATTGAGGCTGCACAAAGTCAATGGCCTTGTACACGCCGCTCCACACACGTGAGAGCTCAGCCGATGGCAGGGTCAGTGGGCCAAAGGCACAAGCCTGGAGCTCCTGGTAAGTGTTGCCAGGTCAGCTGCCCCTCAGACTTCTCACAGGTGATGATAGTGCCTCATTATAGTTTTAATTGGCTTCTCTCTTACTGTGGGGGTCATCTGTGTCATGGTGTAAAAAGGGGCACTTTTGTTTCCTTTCCTTCCAACTATCTCTTATATCAATGGCCAGCTGTTGCTTTTTAAAAATTTATTGGATTGCTGTCCTTGTTAAGGGCATTTTTTACATGTGAAGGCACCTTACATGCAGGGTTCATCTGTGTGTGTACTGCTGGAGGGCAGGGCGATGTCTCAGCCCCATGGAGGCTCCAGGCGCCCAGCACAGGGCCTGCCACCTAACCACATCCTTGCTGCTTGCACCTGTCTCTCGGCTGGAGTGACTTGGCCTAGTGTTGTGTTTGCACCTCACAGATGGTGACGGAGGACAAGTAGAGGTCTCCTGCCCCTGAAGCCAACATCATCATCTCATCCTGTGAGGAGCCCAGAATACGGGTCACCGTGTCTGTCACCTCGCCCTAATGCCGGAGGACACATCCGTGGACAGAGGTGCAGCCAGGCCCTTCTGTCCAGCCCCCTCCCACACACCAGGTGGCTTAGGGAAGCGTCTGACTGCTTTGGGCAGAGGAAGAGGGTTGGGGTGCAGCCTTCTGGCGCTTCTGTCAGCCCCGATGCCACTGCCCAGATAAGAGCTGGGCCTCAGGGCAGCGGAGGAAATGAGCTGGGACAATGTCAGGTGGGCTCAGAACCAGGCTGTGGTGTGCTCCTGGGCCTTGCTCGTGCAGCACCATGCTCCTCCCTCGCTTCCAGTCCAGTGCAGACACCTGCCCAGTGGACACCAGTTGTGCCAGGTCCCAGGAGCTCAGATTGTCCATCTGTCCACAGCAGAGGCCACAGCAGAGGTCACAGCAGAACCTGCTGCCCCAGCACTGCTCGTGTGGGACATGAGCGTCGGGGGCCTGAGTCATATTGGCATTGCTCAAGAGAGTGGGAGAGGTGTTGCGCCAGGCCCAAGGGCAGCCAGGGCCTGAGTCACGGCCACCAGTGAAGGCCGACAGGGAAGCACCCTGAGGCTCATCGAGCCTGGAACCTCCTGGAACAGCCCAGGACCATTTTCCAAATTCTATCCATTCTTGAACCCTCTTCATGATTGTTGTTTACTACCAACATTTTTCTTTAAATCAATTCACTTTTAACACAAAATTTTTTTAAAATATCTTTTTAATGATTTCAGAGAGGAAGGGAGAGGGAGAGAGAGAGACAAACATCAATGATGAGAGAGCTGCCTCCTTCATGCCTCCTACTGGGGATCAAGTCCGAAATCCAGGCATGTGCCCTTGACTGAAATCGAACCTGGAACTCTTCAATCCACAGGCGGATGCTCTATCCACTGAGCCAAGCTGGCCAGGGCAACACTTACATTTTTAAAGAGGAGAATCTATGACTGTAAGTGGGAAGCCATTATTTATTGTCATAAATGGAGAGTTGTTTAAAAATCAATCCAGGGGGCGATGAACAACATTAAATTCTAGCTGAAGGCCCTGCTGGGCTTCCCTCAAACACACAAACAAGGTGGAGATTGGGGATGTTAGAAAGTGTTAACGATCCGTGGTCACAAGATGGAGGCTGACCGGAAAGATTAAGATGCGGAAACCCCTCTGTAACGAACATACTTTCTGTGACCACCAGGAGCCTGTCAGCCTCACTCAGGCGTCTACTCACTCCACGCCCGGCTGGCTGTTGCGGGGAGGGTAGCTTCTAACCCAGTGATGGCGAACCTTTTGAGCTCGGCGTGTCAGCATTTTGAAAAACCCTAACTTAACTCTGGTGCCGTGTCACACCTAGAAATTTTTTGATCTTTGCAACCATAGTAAAACAAAGATTTATATTTTTGATATTTATTTTATATATTTAAATGCCATTTAACAAAGAAAAATCAACCAAAAAATGAGTTCACGTGTCACCTCTGACACGCGTGTCATAGGTTCACCATCATTGTTCTAACCCCTCCTCAAAGACACACCCCTGCCACTTCCACCCCAACCTGCGACAGGCAGGCAACACACAAGGACCCCTGGGGATATTTATGGGTGAAAGTGAAACCTGTGCTCCGTCATGTGATCTAAATAAACCAGGGTATCCTAGAAGGAGAAGAGAATATTCTTGAAGCAACCATAGTAGGAAAGAAAAAATGGATCTGAATTTCTCTCAAACATGGAGGCCTTTGTTATCAATGATGGGATGTGTTCTAATCGGATCCACTTTCTCCACTTAATTAATTTTTTATTGGCTAAAATTTTACATATGTCTCCTTTTTCCCCAATTGACACTCTCTCCCGCCCCCCGCAGCCATTCCCACCCCAGGCAAGCCATCACTGCCCCAGTGTCTGTGTCCATTGGTTATGCTAATATGCATACAAGTCCTTCCCACTCCCCTGCCATTTGTCTCTGGATCTATTCTTGTTCATCAAATTATATTGATCATTATATCCCACATATGAGTGAGATCATGTGATATTTATCTTTCTCCAACTGGCTTATTTCGCTTAGCATAATGCTCTCCAGTTCCATCCATGCTGTTGCAAATGGTAAAAGTTCCTGCTTTTTTATAGCGGCATAGTATTCCATTGTGTAGATGCACCGTAGTCTTTTAATCCACTTATCTGCTGATGGGCACTTAGGTTGTTTCCAAATCTTAGCTATTGTAAATTGTGCTGCTATGAACATAGGGGTGTATATATCCTTTCTGATTGGTATTTCTGGTTTCTTGGGGATATAGTCCTAGAAGTGGGATCACTGGGTCAAATGGGAGTTCCATTTTTAACTTTTTGAGGAAACTCCATACGTTTCTCCACAGTGGCTGCACCAGTCTGCATTCCCACCAGCAGCAGTGCATGAGGGTTCCTTTTTCTCCACATCCTCTCCAGCACTTGTCGTTTGTTGATTTGTTGATGATAGCCAGTCTGACAGGTGTGAGATGGTATCTCATTGTTGTTTTGATTTGCATCTCTCAGATGATTAGTGACTTTGAGCATGTTTTCATATGTCTCTGGGTCTTCTGTATGTCCTCTTTCGAAAAGTATGTATTTAGATCCTTTGCTCATTTTTTGATTGGATCGTTTATCTTCCTTTTGTGAAGTTGTATGAGTTCTCTGTAAATTTTAAAGATTAAACCCTTATCAGAAATATCAGGCAAATATGTTCTTCCATGCAGTGGGCTTTCTTATTTTGTTGATGGTTACTTTTGCTGTGCAGAAGCTTTTTTAAAAATATTTTTTATTATTGATTTTAGAGAGGAAGGGAAAGGGAGAGAGAGATAGAAACATCAATGATGAGAGAGAATCATTGATCGGCTGCCTCCTGCACGCCCCACACAGGGGATTGAGCCCACAACCTGGGCATGTGCCCTGACTGGGAATCGAACCTTGACCTCCTGGTTCATAGGTCAACACTCAACCATTGAGCCATGCCAGCCTGGCCAGAGCTTTTTATTTTGATGTAGTCCCATTTGTTTATTTTTCTTCTTAGTCTCCATTGCCCTAGGAGCTGTGTCTGTAAAGATAGTGCTATGACATATGTCTGCTATTTTGCTGCCTATGGAGTCTTGTAGGATTTTTATGGTTTTCTGTCTTACATTTAAGTCCTTTAGCCATTTTGAGTTTGTTTTTGTGTATGGTGTAAGTTCGTGATCTAGTTTCATTTTTTTGCATGTATCTGACCAAATTTCCCAGCACCATTTATTGAAGAGACTGTCTTGACTCCATTGTATACTCTTGCCTCCTTTGTCAAATATTAATTGAGCATAATGGCTTGGGTAAATTTCTGGGTTCTCTGTTCTGTTCCATTGGTCTATATGTCTGTTCTTGTGCCAGTACCAGACAGTTTTGAGAATCGTGGCTTGGTAATATAGCTTGATATCAGGTATTGTGATTCCTCCAACTTTGTTCTTCTTTCTCAGGATTGCTGTGGCTATTCGGGGTCTTTTTTTTTATTCCAGATGAATTTTTAGAGAGTTTGTTCTAGATCTTTGAAATATGCCGTTGGTATTTTAATGGGGATTGCATTGGATCTGTATATTGCTTTGGGTAGTATAGACATTTCAATGATATTGATTCTACCAATTCATGAACATGGTATGTTCTTCCATTTGTTTATGT